GAAGAGTTATATGATTATTTTATTTTAAATTTTATTTAAATAAATTAGAGAAAAATACAAGTAATGTAGATCAACAACTAAAAAAATGAATAAGCTCGTGGATAAAAAAGACAATTTATTATTGTTTCGTAATTTTCATTTTTGCGATGACCACTTGTTTTTTTGCAAGAAAAACTTCATGTACAGTCCTTCGGCGAATGTTTGTTCAGGTTGCTTGTCATTAAGTTTAAAGATTGTACAAACAGCTTCTGAAAATAAAGAAAATCAACTTTACGAAGAAATCGATACTCTTGCCCTTACCCAACATATATCTGTTGTCGTTATGGGTATCAGCCAGTGTGAGTGAAGCCAGTTGATCCATATGTGTAAATCAGCTGTATCAATGCGGTTACATAAATATTTGCTTCGTTTTTTGTTCCAGGAATTGTTAGTAAATGGAGACTAGGCGCGCCTTCAGTTGGTTTAAAAATCTAAATAAAGAAAATCGAAGTATGAAAATGACAAAATATCATACTCACAAAAGATAAAGAAAAATTAGAATCATCATTATCGACGCTAGTTGATTCTTCAAGCAAAATAAGTACCTAAATTGATATTCATATGTGCGTATACCAGTTCAGATGAGCATTTCATAAATATTAGAAGTGTAATTTAAATAATCTCTTCAGAATAAAATCTAAATTTTCAAAAGAAAATATTGATGCATTAATTTTTTACGTAATAAAAATAAAAAGCTGGTCGAAGCTTCTTGAAAGATCCTTTTCAACGCAATTTTAGAGTCTTTTGAGTTAACAGTTTCATGTTTAGGCTGCGTTTATTGAAAACGAATGATGAATCTGTTTTTTCTCTTTTAACTAGAGTATAAACTCCACTGTTATATAAATCTGGCTTTGATTTATATAATAATTGATGGATTCTCTGTATAACAATTTGTAACGATTTCTAACGAAATAATAAAAAATACCATACTAGTCGTTTGTTTAAAGCCTTTTCAATCCTTATTTAATTCTTGCATATAAATTATATCATTATTTCGAAACGTTCCTGCTAATGAATGTTGCTAGGAGTTATTGAAGTATGAGACATTGAAAGAGATTGAACAATGACAGGTCAGACAAATTGAATTGCTATATTGACGAAAGGAAAGGAAGAAAAGTAAATTAAGTTCGTTTATCGTTGATAAACAATGGAATAAATTTGGAGAGAGTAGTTATTTTCAAAGAGATTATTTTTTCTCGTCTGTTCTGTCTGAGAAGAGAGAGAAAACATTCAACTTGCTTCAATCTATGAGTCAGAAGGAAAATAAAATATAATCATTACTATCTTTAACTTATTGTAATTATTCAATGAAATAAACTAAATATTTGTTTTAAAGGCAAAATCGAAATACAATTTTTTTCTTAGCAGTATTTACGCTTATGGGGCAACTTTTTGGTAATTTAGACTAGTCCGGCCACACTGTGTATCGTATATTGCTCCAATCTACGATCTGAGGAGCGAGATTGAAACTTAGATGAGGGTTTTGTTGTATATTTCTAATTAATTATTCAAATACGAACACTAGTGTATGTGCTAAACCACCATGTAGATGGAACTGGTATACTGCACGAAGATATGCATACAAAGAAAAAAATAATCGATAAATAATTATATTATGAACGTTCGATGCTGTTCGACAATAATAATCAATTAGACGTTCAGCAAACAATATTTTCTCTTTAGTTTCAGATGCATATAAAAGTTCAAGTGCTCAGAACAAATCTCAAAAGAGAAGACAGGAGATCCGGTAATATGCTAAATCTCTGAATCGTGATTATTTTGATCAATCAAATCGTCAAAATTTTGAAGACGACAATACACATTCAAATAATAATTTTTTTAAACTTAAAGATGAAACTAGTATGATGGCATTTTGATACCGTTATTGCGACGTAGAGAGTGCTAGAAAAGTATGATACTTAGCGACGTTATATTGCTAGAATAATTTTAATCGTTATAGCGGCACTATATTACTGAAATAATTACGATACTTAGCGGCATTAAATTGCAAAATAATGCCACTAAATGGCGTTTTGACGTTATAACGGCGCTACTTGAAAAAAAGGACGACATGGGTAAGAACACTCTCAATAGACAAGTAGAAAAAATGACTGCGTTTAATGCTTTTTTAAATCATAGTTATTATCGAAATGAATTTTATGTTCGGTAAGTTCAATGCCAGATAAACAATATTAATACTAAGTTGAATAAATTCTCTCTTGACGGTAAATAACAGAGAGAAAAGAGAATATAGTGATGTTATATAATATCCAAGAGAAGAAGATGATACTACAGGTGATGACACGCAGTGCCGTCACACTCTGTTACAGTGAACAGAAAAAAAGGGGAGCAAGAGTGATTCTTTTACAGATTTCAGGTAATAACTTAATATTTTTGTGCACACTGTTGACATTTCATAGCGATTATCTGCGTTTACCCGGTCTCCCTTATTGGAAAGACCTTTGAAAAATGAACTTTTCGACTATCAAAAACTGCAATATTAGCACAATAAAAAGTAGTTGTTCTACTATAATATTGTTTAGAAAAAATAAAATAACAATTTTTTTTTCATACACTTAGATACAATTATTAATTGTCTATTATATAAATTTGCCATGGATTAATTACTCTTCAAAAGTCTGAAGCAGATTATCATCGACAATTTGTTTCGAATTTTTGAAGCCATGCAGAAAAAAAATCATAAAGATGTAAATTAGACATTATTTTATAGTTTTCATTCCACAATATTTGTTTTACCGTGTGAATTATTAAACTATAAAGTGTTAAGACTTAAGAAAAAGTTTACTGTTTGGTTATGGCGAAGAATACACATTTATGTCAAACATTTCCAGAAAAAATATGTGTTTTTAGTAGTTTATTACTTGAAAAAATGCTCTTGATAGGAAACTATAAATAAATTAATAAGTAAGTGATGCATACAACTCAGAAGAACTAGAGTTTTACATATAAGAAGGACAAACTAAAACTTACATTGTAATCTAAAATTTTTAGAAATCTATATAATCTCTAACAAGGATTGATTCTAGAATTGCATTTTTTTTTTGTTTTTTGGATAATATCAGTTGTTAATCATCTGATTGACCGACATTAGTCATAAATAACGGTCAAACTCAATTAATAGTTTTAGTTAAGTAAATGCTTACAGAGAAGACAGTTCCTTTTTTTTAAAGTTTTACTTCTGTATTACATTATACTTTGAAAATGTACAGATGAGGATGAACAAGTGTCCAAACTCGAATCAACGAATATTGAAGGAAATTCATTAAATTCAAATGTTCAGGTTTAACACGAATCTAGTTGTGACATGTAAATAAATCCACTGATGCTATGAAGTTTTTCACAAAAAAAAATGAAATGACAGAAATACTTTGAGTCAGTTTATAGTATTTCGTGAATTGTAGAAATATCATTTTAAATTCTCGGACAAAAGTCTTTTTCCTTTTTATACTGCCATACTTTACATAAAGTTTATTATTGAGTAAAAATATGATCTGAAAGTTTTATTACAGTGTAATCTGTACATCAACATGGAATAAAACATTTATGTCATATGTCTACTCAGTAATATTTAATACCAAGTTTAACATTATAACAGGATAAAGAGAGAAAAGATATTTGTTTTGAAGGTGTACGTCTAACAAGAGAATTTATGCATAACCTTTTCATATATTTAATTTCTAAGAAAGAGTCACCGAATCAATTTTAAAATAAAATACTCAATCTAAAACCCAAGGTTTAGTATACTTGGGTTGTTTGTTTGTTTATTTATTCGAAACTTGATGAAATAGAACGTGAATGATCACTGTATAAAAATTGTCAACAAACTTTTGATATAAGAATACATTTAACACACTATATCTCGACAATGATTAAAACTTTCATAAGTCAAGATAGCCTATAATATGTAGTCAATACATAACACTGTATAACTATATACTAATTAATGAATATGAATAAAACAATATTCTCGTAACTCGTAACAATAACTACACTATTTTTTCGCATTTTAATCTTAAATTGCCATTATGGTGAGCATTGATTTAATGGAAAAAAAGGGTCAATTGATTTTTCTAGAAAACTTGATTAGATCATAACAAGATACAATGTATTAAAATAATGTCATTTGAATCTTTGAACGTGCGTGTATCAAGATTTTTCAGGATCGGGCAATTGCCCAATGACCGTATCCATAGCTACGCGACTGCAGAGTTTTCATCTCGGTATTCACCTAGCGAAAGCTTTTTCTAAATTGATGAAGAGACTTTCTTTGCTGTGCTTATGCCTTTGGCGTACATAATATTTTTTTTTTTTTTCTTCTATAAATTTAAAATGTGCTCTGCTATGCTATAGTCATAATATTTATTGCGAGAGTGTTGATAAAAATGTAACTTTATTCAGTAGAAGAACGATAAAGAAAAAGTTCAAAGGCATTTCCAAGAAACACGTCTAATTGCAAAAAAGCAAAAGCATATGAAGGTTGTTTGATACAGTGTTGACTGAGGGAAAAAAACATGCTCTCTTGAAAGCACGTTCAAACGGAGCTATTAAATGTCGTTTCAAGTTGAAGAAATACTCTCTAAATTAAAAATAAAACATGTATTCAGCTGCATTGTAAAGGAACAAGAACACATTCATATATAAAAATAGCATTTTTTTTTTCTAAAATTTGGCGTTGAAACGAGTATTTGTACAATTGTTTTTCTATAGGTATCGTATCATATCAACTAAAGATTAATATACCGTTGACTGAATGCCTGCACAAGTGTACAACAAGAAACAATCTATAAAGCACTTTTGAAAATTCAATTGAACAATTTTTTTGGCTACATTGTTTTTTTTTCCATAGGTATTTCAGATTATTGTCAATTATGTTACAAAAAATTAGGAAAACAAAATTTACTTATTCACTGTTTTGTTTTCTATCATTTTTTTGTCTCATAATGCTTATTCTTATCTGGAAAAATTTAATTCCACAAAAACAAAGTATGAAATCATTAATTTCAAATGTATTCTATATTGAGAAGAATCAAACTAATCAACAACACTACTCAAATATTCAATATGTTAACAACAGTTTGTCTTCTTCAACAGCAGAAAAATCTTTCAGATTAGAAATCAATAAACATACTTTGACTTTTACAAATTCAAAATTTATTCATCAAAATAAAACATTAGAAACTACAATTCAATGTGTTGGTTCATTATATAATCAATCTTGTTTGTATCATAATTTATATTATGTTGATAATGCATTTACGATTTTAACAGTAAAAGGAAAACAGTTACCTACATATTCTGTACGAACAGATGCATTTATACTATGGCCTACAACGCCAAATAAACGTGTTTTTGATTCATATTATGATCTTGAAAAATTTGTCCGTACTACGATTGATCCAAGAATACTTCCATCTGTTACTCTATATTTTGGTCAACCTTGGCATTTTAATATTGGTCATGCACTTTTTGATGGTCTTTATCCAGCATATGTTGCACTTATTCGTTTTCCTCCAAGACATCTGCAACCTTTTCGTATTCTTGCTGGAGTAGATGACTGTAATGATTGTTGGAGTGAAGATGTTTATAGTCGTTTTGGTGGTCTTGGAATTCTTAAGCAAAGAGTTCTAAATAAAATGTCGAAAGGAAATTGGTTTATGTTTGAAGAACTCGTTATGGGTAGTGGAACATTTTGTCAACGTTGTACACAACCTAATTCACAATTACCTGGTGGTGTTGAACTAGATGCTTCAAGACTTTTTCGTGATAGAATGTATCAACAACATGGTCTTGTTCATCCCATTGTTCGACAAAAATCTTCATCTGAAAGAAGAACCTCTCATGATCTTCTTCAGGCATATATTATTGATAACAAACGTTTCACAAGTGAAGATCGAAAAGAAATTGATAATGCTATGAATGAAATAAATAATTATACCAATTTATATTTGAATAAAACTACGAATAGTACAACTAAACTACAATGGCCATTAGTTCGTGTCACTTATCTTTTCTACAATCTAGTTAGAGCTCAAAATCTTACTTTAATTCAAATAAATGCAACATCAACTGATTCTCGATCACCAATATATGAACTAATTGAAAATAATTTCATAGCTCAACTAAAACTTCTACGTCAAATGGATATTCATATAACTGGACCAGGTACTGGACAAATGTATCAAACATTTTTATCAGATGGATCTGTAACTATTAATATTGGAGGCATAAGACCATGGGGAGCAGAAAAAACTGAAAAAGCATATAGTTCATATCTTGAACAACATATGACAAGTGGTACACCTTATATCAAAGGTCTTTATTATCCAATTAATGAACGACCTAAAGGTATTAAAAAAGATGAAATTGTGAAATTAATTCGACAAGCATCACAACTAATTCTCGAAGGGTTTTCATTACCAGTGAATCCTCGAGATAATCTAGCACCTGATGGACAATTATTTGTTGAAATGTGTGAAAAAGATAAAGAATTTTGTTCTTCAGTTACAACAAGAACAACAGATAGAGATTTCACTTGTTTAGAGTTCTGGATAGAAGATTTTGTACATGAATACCGTCAATGGCAATTAGGAGGTTTTGTTGATAACGGTCGAAATCTTAGCTGTGCTTTTAATCGTTCATTGCTACATGAATTAAGAAAAAAATATGGAATTAAACAGAACAAATCGGATCAGTAATCAAAGAATCATCACACAAAACTTTGTGCATTACTTGCAGTAGAATATTTTTTTTTGTTATTAGTTTTAGTAGAACAATTCAAAATAAAATGTTAAGAAAATACAAACATATATTGTCGATTGTATCATAGAAATATACATATATATTGAATATGCAAAACTTATGGAAAATAACAAGAAAAAATTTACTTTTCTGCACCACGTGAAGTATTTATAGTAAGTTCAAAAAAATCATTGATATATATCATCAATATTTAAATAAAGAATGGAGTTTTGCATGTATTGCAATTGTTTCAAATATAAAATATAGCAATACAAAATGAGTTTGATTAATAGACAATTTTATGTGCCATAGTTGTTATCAATATTACGTTTTGTAAACTTTTTAGTTTTGATCGAAATAAATATATCAACCCATTAGATTCAATACTTTCACCAACATCATTTCTTTTCACTTGAAATTGTATCAATAGAAAATACTTTCATTTATTTTGCGCGTCAGAATTCACCCTTTTAATCATTCATACATACACTGTTACTTTACAGAAACATTTGCAGATCGATTAAATACATATAAATTTATGCAGTGTAATATATTACTGTAGACAATCATCATATGTTTCTCCCACACCTATATCCTTATCGGACTATACATGTTGCGGTACAACTCACTGCGTATAATACAATCGCGAAAGTTCCGATTAGAGTAAATTTTTCCATACAAAGCCCTAACAAAACCACTTTGAACCATCCTTTGTTTAATTCCCAACTGTGCCAATAATCAACGAATAAGTTCTTCTTCTTCATCCGGATACAAAGATACTGACGATATGTCCATGCCAGAATATCGATATTTAGCTAATTTAGCAAGACTAATAATAAATAGAGTGTTACCAAATGTTTCAGCTTTTTTTCGATTCTTGCTAGTCGATGAGAAAGCATCCCAAGTTTTAACGAGACCAATAGCTTGTTTGTATAATTCTATAGTATATTTATCAAGTTGAATCGATGATCATTCGATGTCCAATCATTGAACGATTTGGCAAGTTTTTGACGTATATAGAAACGTTCTGGACGAAGAATTGACACGTCGTTTGATTGACATTCAAAGAGAAGAGTCTTGTTTATTGATTACATTAGATTTAGCAACAACTGAAGTTGGTAATAGTCGATTGTGAGTAACGAACTTGATTGAGCTTAGTGTCAAACACTTTTTCTTCATTGCAGAATGTTTACTAGTCATTTTTTTCTTATGAGTTATTGATCCATGTGAAAAATGACAAAAAAAAGAATTGCAAGTTAAAAGCGAACTTTTTAAGATCGAATAGAAAAACACCATAAGTGTTTATGAATACTAAGTAGAGTTTTATGCTTTTAATATATATTTCTCACATGTGAGAGAACCACTAAAATATTCTTTCGATTATGCAAAAATTTATTTTCTGCACATAGTCGTACAAGTGTTTCGATTCACATCGTTTCTAAATTATTCAACAGGAACATAAAATAAACGAAGAGATTGCCTATACACGTCAATATTATTCTTTCTTCAATTCCATTAATCTTTATTATACCGTATCATATGCAGCAGTAGACAAAAATCTCCCTCCTCTATAGACTAACTTTATCAAATTAACTGATAAAATGGAAACATTTTATTACGTATAGGCTTATAGTACACTTTGATCATTAACGTAATATAAAGACCCACTAAATTTCAACAACTTCGACAATAGAGTCTTCCATTTGCGTTTTATTGCAGATTCCAACGATGGATAATTTGTGAACTTTTACCTAAATTGATGAATTAACAAACATTTTCGATGTATACAAGAACGATGTGACATCGACGACCAGTCAACTTTGTGAACACTATCATTCATTCCTCAATTAATTGCTAGTTTAGACGTACGCTTGGGTTTATTATCTTCTTACCATATTACTTGATCCTAATTTATAGCCTTGGAATCTTGTTCCTATTGTAAACAATTCTTTTGATGACTGTCGTTGAAGCAACAGCTTCGACATGGGCTCATTGCATTTCACGTTTGCTTCGTTGAGTCGCGACCTTTCCGTTCTCTCACCGACTACAACTCATTTCTACATCAGTTCGTTTGCAATATCTTGCAGTGAAATAGTTTATTAATTCTATTTTTGGATTACTGCACCTGTCAAAGATATATCAGAGGTAATGGTTAACAACAAAGCCGCAGAAATGAACAGTGATTTTGGTCAGCAGATCACTATTGTTGCTTATGTATATTAGTCTTAGGGAAAGTTCTACTAGAGGTCAGACTTTTGTCTACCATTATATATAGCAGACATATTTATAATACACAAAAGTGTTTGAATATTTTCTGCACCGTAAAAAGGCATGGCTCTCACAAAAAACAGAGCATTCCATTGAATTTCGAATTGTTGCTGTAAAAAATCTTTTGAATGGCGATTTAGAACACAAAATAGCAAAAAGAAGTCTCTTTTCAAAATATATAATTCACTCTATAATCGCCAAATATAAAACACAGCATGTTTTGACAACCTCATTCATTGTAGCCGAAAACAAAAGACTTTTCAACATAAAATTAAAGTGAATCGATGACAGCTGGCTTTATCTGTACGTCAGAAAATAAGACAGAAACTCAGTGTAGTCATATCAACTAAGTAGACTCAAACGTTTGCAGTAAGTGAAGATGTATCGAAACAAAGACATGCCTTCCTGGAAATGTGTTTCATGGATCTATGAATCAAAATTTAACCTTTTTGGAACAGATAGAAAGGTAATGGAATGACGATCATCTTGAGAGAAAAATGATTCAATATGTGATGTGTCAAGAATGAAATATGGAGAGAAGAAAAGTTAAAATTTGTGATATTTTCCTTGAAAGGAAGTTGAAAATTTGATTTTTATCGATGACAACATGATATTTGCAAAAAGTTGAACGCGGATGAAGAAACAATTTTTCAATACGATAATAATGCCAAACATGCGGCTCGTATTGTGAAAAATTGAGGGTGTGAGTGCGGGTTTCAATCAATTTTTTACCTGCACCCACACCCACACCCAAAAATGCTAGGATTTTCTGGTTTTTTGGATCTTAATATCTCGAGAAGGAAATGTTCTTTTGAGCTGAAATTTTCAGAATATTCTAGTCATCAATAGGCCTGTCTGTGGCCAAAATCTCAGATCGAAATGCCGTCATTCAATTTGTCCGTATATACCATGCCCTAGGCTAAACTTCCAGTAAAATGCCTATAACTCTGGACAGAAGGTCTAAGGGGATTTCATCTCTTAAGGTTTTTCATACCTCACTAGGATCTATCTTATGCACAAAGTTCGAACTCAAAAGAGATTTGGAAGTTGAAAATGTTCCCTAGTAAGTAAGAGTGTTCATCATGTTTATTAAGGGTTCAAACGAAGATCCAAGTTATTATATATATATAATATTTTGCTTTTATAGCCAGCAAGCTAGACAAGATAAATACAACTAAGAAATATTAACGCATTCATCCTATTTGTATTAGATAGGAGATATTTTTGTTTTCAGGGAGTAAATTTTTCAAATCTAAAAGAGCAGTCATCCTATTCCGTAATGTTGAACATTGCGGAATCAGTTCTGCACCAGGAACCAGTTCCATCCAATTCCGGGAACTCGATCATAATTCCCAACAACAGACCTACTAGTCACTGAACGAGTTCCGTCAATTCCCAGAATTCCAGGAACTTAGTCCCGATGGAATTACTCCAAATTCACAGTAATTTCCGAACCGGAAGGAATTTCACCCAATAACCAGCCACTCCGGAATTGAACGGAATTCCGTCGGATTTCGGAATTCCAGGAATTCAGTGGAGATGGTATCCCCACCAACTCCGGAATTGGAACCATCCCGGAATTGAGTGTAGATGAAATCCCCACCGATTCCGGAATTCCGGAATCTGATGGAATTCCTAGGAATTCCGTGCGATTCCGTCTCGACCCAATTCCCGGAATTCTGTGACGGAATTACTTACTTATGCAAGAGGATAATTTTCAATCACAACACCATGCGTCATGGTGAGGGTGAAAAGCGATTCCTCTACGGAATTCCGGGAATTGAGACGAGACGAAATTACACGGAATCGGACGGAATTGCACATAGTTGGTAGGAATTCCATCCGATTCCGGGAATTTGATGGAACTCGGTCAGTGACGAGTCGATGTGTTATATTGAATGATGATCGAGTTCCGGGAATAGGGTGGAACTGGTTCCGGGGGCGGAACTGATTCCGCAATGTTCAACATCGCGGAATAGGATGTATTCTCAAAAAATTATGAATCCATTTATATTTTGGGGAGAACTAACTGTTCCACCTAATATTGTGATTGTTCATATTGGCCAAATCATTGAAAGATTAGTGTACAACAAACAAGATGTGTTTCATTTTTTTCAATTTCCAAATACAGCAGAAAGTACATAAAGAAAGATCTTCATATGGTATTTTACTAATATGAATACTATCGTTCAATTTAAAAACATATTTAAAGAATTTTTTGGCAACTGCGGCTTCTTTTCTGAAAAATAATTATGATTACATTTCATTTTAATGTATGATTTCAGTAAAATCTCTCTATCTACTCCTTTCATATTGAATGCTGGATTGTATCAATCGATCAAAAAATATTCATAGAAACCATAGAAAAGTCAATTTTTTGGATCACTCGTGACACAAAGCTGCAAAAACATCGTTAAAGTGCGAAAAGATCGCGCAATCCAGGTGTTTTAAAGATTAGAAGTATACTACTAATAAAAATTATTTGCGTTTTAGCTGTAAAACACATAATATTTTGCTCTGTTGAACACATCAGTATTTCATCAGCGCTTAATCTATAAGAATTTATTGATTTACCGCGTGTAAGCGCACTTGAATAATGCTGATATAATATTGTAAGCGTGCTAACGTTTATAAATATACAGAACCAATCGAAATGAAAATTTTGGTGTTGAATAGACATAGTATTCTT